TGTTGTTCATAATTTTTTATCTTTATCGTTTTCTTCTTCCTCTTAAAGAATACCTTTCAGCATTTCATATAATACTGGTTTGGTGGTGATGAACTCCTTTAGCTTTTTTTTTTTTTTAAATCTGTGAAGCTCTTTATCTGCCCTTCAATTCTGAATGGTAGCTCTGGTGGGCAGAGCAATCTTGGTTGTAGATTCTTGCTATTGATCACTTTGAATATTTCTTGCCACTCACTTCTGGCCTGCATAGTTTCTGTTGAGAAATCAGCTGACAATCCTATGGGTACTCCCTTGTAGGTAATTAACTTTTTCTCTTGCTGCTTTTAATATTCTCTTTGTCTTTTGCTCTTGGCGTTTATTTATTTTTAAAAATATATTGTGGTTTTTTTTTTGTTTGTTTGTTTGTTTTTTTTTACAGAGAGGAATAGAGTTAGAAACATCAATGAGAGAGAAACACCGATTAGCTGCCTCCCGCACACCCGCCACTGGGGATGTGCCTGCAATAAAGGTACATGCCCTTGACTAGAACCAAACCTGGGACCCTTCAGTCCGCAGACTGATGCTCTATTCACTGAGCCAAACCAGTTTCAGCTGCTCTTGGCATTTTATTCAGGATGTGTCTTGGTGTGGCCCTCTTTGGATTCCTTTTGTTTTGGGTTTTGTGCGCTTCCTTTTCTTATAAGTCTATTTCTTTCACCAAGTGGGGGAAGTTTTCTGTCATTTCTTCATATATATGTATGTATGTATATGGTATATGGTATATATTTTTATTGACTTTTTACAGAGAGGAAGAGAGAGGGATAGAAACATCGATGAGAGAGAATCATCGATCAGCTGCCTCTTGCACACCCCTACTGGGGATGTGCCTGCATCCAAAGTACATGCCTTTTGACCGGAATCGAACCTGGGACCTTTCAGTCCGCAGACTGATGAGCTATCCAGCAGACTGATGCGCTATCCACCGAGCCAAACCGGTTTCGGCTATTTCTTCAAATAGGTTTTCAATAGCTTGCTCTCCCTCCTCTTCTGGAACCCCCATAATTTGAATGTTGGTACGCTTGAAGCTGTCCCCAGAGGTTCCTTAGGCTATCTTCATATTTTTTAATTCTTTTTTCTTTTTGCTTTTCCAGATGGGAGTTTTTTGCTTATTTGTATTTCAAATCTTTGAATTGATTCCTGCGATCTGCTGGTGGGTCTCTGTATAATTCAATCAGTGTATTCTTAATTTCTAGTGGATCCTTTTTCATATATTCAAGGTTCTCACTAAATTTATCGATTTCTAGAAGATTTTTGAAGAACCTTATAACCGTGGTTTTGAACTTTATATCCAGTAGTTTGCTTTCCTCCATTTCTTTCATTTGTGATGTTTCTTGTCTCCACATTTTGGCTGCTTTCCTGTGTTGATAGAGTGGCTTTGTGTGCTAAGTGTCCTATAGGGCCCAGTGGCTCAGCCTCCCCAGTTACCTGAGGTGGACATTCTTAGTGCACCCGTTTGTGGGCTTGTGCACAGTCTTGTAGTTAAGCCTTGATTGTTGTTGGTATCACTGGGAGGAATTGGCTTACAGCCAAATTGGCTGTGAGGAATCAGCTGTGTCAACGATGGGAGAACTTCTCTGTGCTGGAGACACTTCTTAAGGGCTAAGACTTGCTTCAGTGGGGCTTTGGTGCTCACTGAGTCTGCCCCCATCCATAAGTGTGTCCCTTATGGATCTGAGGAGTTGTAGTGTGGATGGTCCCACTGTGACCACTGGGTACACTGCCCCTTGGATCTCCAAGGAGGTGCTAATTTATCCTCTGCCTGAGGCCACCCAGTAGGAGCTATGGAGAGATCTGCAGATTCCTCTTCTTTGTTTGGGTTTTGGAGGTGACCAGATGAGGCCAGCTGTGAGGCAATGCAGGTTGCTGGGCCTTGGACCTTCTTTTGGAAGCTCTGGGACTCTTTGACCCAGCTGCAATTTGTTAGTTAGTTTTAGATTGCAAAGGGCCACGCCATTCATATGCAAAAGCCTCTGCACACAGCTTGGGTGGGGCTGGGTCTCAGGGAATCAACAGGGCGGAGCAAACGGCAATGGGTGATCCTCAGCCCTGCCTTAAGAGGCCCCTGGGTCTCAGTGTCCCACGGTATGCCTCTAAGAGAAAGCTGACCTCAAGTTCCACCCGAAGCCAGACTGTCCATTTTCTCTCCGTATAAGTCTGGGTCCCCAGAGTCTCCCTGGGAACTGGAATTTACAGGAGTCAGGAGCTTGTGTTTCCCTCCTGATTGAGAAAGACAACAGCATACTCAGTTGCCAGGCTTTTCCGTCTCCGTACCTCTGCACTTTACTTCCATAGCTCCTCTGAGCCTTGGTGTGCTTTTCTCTTCCCTTCTAATTTCCACTTGGCCAGCCTTCCTGTGGTTCTGGATCATGTCCGTTTTGTCTTTTAGTTGTAGTTTTGAAGTGGTTGTGTGTAACTACTTTGAAGTAGTTTCTCAATAATGTGATTTTATAGTGACTGAAGTCTTTATTTAACTCAAGTATGTCAAACTCGTAGCCCACAATGAATTTTTTGCGGCCCACCCAATATAACAGTATATAAGAAAAATTTTTTAAATAATATATTTTATTGATTTTTTCACAGAGAAGAGAGAGGCATAGAGAGTTAGAAACATCGGTGAGAGAAACATTGACCAGCTTCCTCCTACACATCCCCGACCGGGGATGTGCCCACAGCCAAGGTACATGCCCTTGACTGGAATTGAATCTGGGCCCTTTCAGTCCGCAGACTGAGCCACACCGGTTTTGGCTGTAAGAAATGTTTTAATAAAAATCCTGTAACTTAACTTTTACAATACCCTGTTTTACATAATTATTAATAACAAAATACAGCATTTGCTAATATACTAATTATTATACTCACGTTGCATTCATTTCCCTTACATGCCTTACGCATAGGCACCCCATTTCTCTCCACTAATACCAGCTGTGAATATTTTAGCAGCTGATCAGTTGCCACATCATTAGTCTTGGACTGACTTGTTTGGTGTGCGCATCAAGAAATACCTCACTTTTGGAGAATAAGAAAAACAGGTTTATTTGCTTTATGCTTATTAACTTGTGCAGTTATTCAATGTCTCATAAGTTAATGTTTAAGAAAAAATACTAATTTTTGTTAAAATGTTCTATTTTGTTAACAATTACTCATTTATTTCAGCCTTTTGTATTCAGCACATGTCTATCGAAATAAGCCAACACTTCTATGAAAATTGTAGCTTTTTTTTTTTTATGGCCCACATAAACTTTTTTTTTTTTTTTTTTAAATCAATCTTTATTGTTCATACTATTACAAAGGTTCCTCATTTCTTCCCCCCTCCACCAGGTTCCCACCCCACCCTCCGCCCCCTCCCCATCCCCCATTGTCCTCTTCCATAGGTGCACAGTTTATGTTCAGTCTCTTCTTCCATCCCTTTTCAGATAGTAAATCAGTTACTTAGCATTTTCTCATATCAATAATACCTCCACATGCCCAATGATACACTTCACACAAAAGACATTTCCCTTAGGTCAACTAGCCTCATCCAGGCCCCACCCAAGGCACTCACAGATCAACACCCCAGCCCTATACTAACTCAACACATCCAGATCTAAGCCTTCATCACTTGATTCAGCAGACCCTCAAGTTCCCGCAAAAGTTTCCAGCCATGTCTGAGAGGCAGCCGTAGGGCAGGGGCAGGCGAGGAGCGAGCTGTTCCGGGCCTGGCTGCTCTGGGCCTGGCCTCTGTTGCTCTGGTTCGTTCCACAACCAGCTGCTCCGGGTCTGGTCACTGCCGCTCCCGACCTAGTTGCTCTGGACTTGGCTGTTGCTGCTCCGGGCCTGGCCGCTCCAAGCCTGGCAGCCGCTGCTCCAGGCCTGGCCGCACCCGACCTGGCTGCTCCGGGCCTGGCCGCACCCAACCCGGCTGCTCTGGGCCTGGCTGCTCCCAGCCTGGCAGCCGATGGCCCACATAAACTTAAACCTTGTTTATTTGGCCGATGTTAGTCTTTGAGTTTGACATGCTTGATTTAGCTGGAGTATCATGTCCCATGGGCAGACAGCATATAAGGATTTAGTTTAATCTAAAGACATAACCAATCTTTCCAGTAGTGACCACCAAGCCATTTCAGGACAAGACAGTGTGCTGCTTGGTGTGTGCATGCTGGTGGGGGAAGGGGTGTCAGTATTTCCTGTCACTTCCCCACTTTGGTCACTGCTGCCATGTTCCAGGTGGCTGGACTACTTCCGTAGACTCTGAACGGGTTGCTTTTCTCTTTCCCTGCAAGCTTTTGTAGGATTTCTGATGTCATTCGTTCATTTTCTTTTTGTTTTTCACAGAATTCCCACTTACCTGAAAAAAATATATTGCTGATTAATTTCATAGAACTTTAAGCAAAAATTTTTAGAAGGTTTTTATGATTTGTTTTTTAGCAACTCATTGATAATTAGAGTGTTAGACTCACGTGGTTGGCCTTTTATTTTCAGGAGCATTGTGATATCTCCACTAGCAAGATGATGCCTATTCGTCTGGTAGTTTCCTGGAGCACAAATGTCATGTCTGCAATTCACATTTATTTAGATTCACGTTTATTTAGATTTGCCTTGACTAACCCTTTAAAAAATATTTTTGAGGTGTCAACTTCACAGAAAATTTGGAAGGAGTTCTTACATCCGAGGCCCAGAATTACCCCTTCTCCCTTTATGTTAAAATGAATGCTTAATAGCTCACATTTGTTCTTATTTCTGAATAACGGAGACAACCCCGACCTTTTGGAGTTTGAGTTCCTAAGGACCTGAGTGAAGACCTTTCACAGAGGCTGCGTGGCGGCCAGGCTGGTCTGTCCCCGCTGCCTCTGGCTCTGCTTGCCTTACAGGAGCTCCGGGTGAGCTGTGGCTGTGCTTTTCCGAGGCTTTCTGTCCCCTTATTACAGCTTTCCCACGGAACACGGGCAGAAAACAGAATTTTACAAAATGAATGTGTTTGTTTCCAGAAGACCCATTTGACGACTTCTTTGGAACCCGGCGGGGTCCGCGTGGGAGCAGGAACCGGGGAACCACCTCGTTCTTCTCCGCCTTCACGGGGTTCCCGGCTTTCGGTGGAGGGTTTCCATCTTTTGATGCAGGTATCACATCCCAAGATTTCACCTTTGGTAACTGGTACATAGTTTGAAACGTGTGTTCCTTTTGATGGAACAGTCTTGTAGATTCCCTAGTTGTTTTTACTCGTGGAAATCTCTGCCTCCTGACCCAAGAACGTTACACCTGAAAGTCTATCTCTACTCTGACCAGTAAAGAACGAAGTTCCTGGTCAGGGGAGTACTGTGTTTTGGGGTAATTGTGAAATAACCCACTTAGTTTTACTAAGTCCTTGCTTTATCTAACCTTCTGGGCAGTGCAGTACAAGGAGGCCCTGGTCCACGGATGGAGGCCGAGGTGGGCCGTAATAACACCCATGGTTGCTGTGGGTGCCCTGCCAAATGACAGTGTTGGCATTAGCGCTCAGTAAAGCAGGTCAGCAGCTTGAGGGGCGGGGCAGCCTACCAGATTGTTTTCCCTGATTCTCACCTAGTTCCTGCTGTCTTGGGATCTTGTTTTTGTCTTAAATGCTCTGGTAACAACCTGCAGCGCTTGGTCACACAGGCTGCCTGCCTGGTACCACTCACAAGGTCCCTCCTGCAAGGGTCCTGCTGCTGGCAGCTGGGAGAGGCTCCTCTGATTGGGGAGCTCTCCCACAGCGCCATGCAGGCTTTCCCCGCAGACCCCGGGGCCCAGCACTGTGCTGTGGTAGTGCTCAAGTCCTGGGAGCGGGAGACAGCTGGTGCACATCGCCAGAGAAGTGCCTGTGGCGCCAGCCTCTAGGCCTGTGCTGTCCTGGTTGGTAGCCACGGCCACGCGACGCTGCTGAGCCTCACGTGCGGCCCTTCCACACCGATGCGTGTTACAAGTGGGACACACGCTAATTTCAGAGATGGAGTATTTAAGTCAGTACAGTTTCAGCTTTTCTGTATCGCATAACATTTTTATATTCTGGATTAAATAAAATAGTGCTAAAGTCAATTTTGCCACTTTCCTTGTACTTTTTAGTGGGGCCATTATAAAAATTAAAATGACATATTTGGCTCACCTTCTGTTTCTGTGGGACATCACTGGTTTAGACAGTATAGAGCTGGAGGGCCGAGTCCTATGTCTGGGGTGCAGGTATTTGTTGTAATGAAAGAGGAAGCTAGCCTCAGGGTGATATGTGGCCATCATCGGGGTGCCATGTCCATGTGGTTAAGAACGTCGTACATGGACTGCAGAGGCATGCTTTTACGGTGATTATTTTAGAATTTGTTTCTAATCAGGTTTTTGTCCCATTTGGTACCATTGTTGCAAAGCGAAGGTGAACAGGTTGGGTCTGCCGTTCTGTCTGCAGTGGTCACTTTGTTCCTGTGAGCTGCAGAGTGAACGGCCATCCTCGTCTCTTCAGGAGGCTCAGTGCTTAGTGGATCCCCCATAAATAGGGGAAATGCAACAAGGCCCAGCCCAGCAGGAGGGGGGACAGGGGTGGTGAAAGGAGCCTGCTGTCTTGCCCCTGGATTCAGAGGACACCTGACCTACCGCTCCCCCCCTCCTCCACATTGCCCCTACCCTGCTTATAGGAGAGGTCTGCTAGGGGATTTTGACACTTGGTGTTTTTGCACTAAATGCCGGACATTCTAGTCTCTGATCTTTTTCCCCTTTATTTCTTATAGGATTTACTTCCTTTGGGTCAATAGGCCATGGAGGTCTCACTGCATTCTCTTCCTCGTCATTTGGTGGTGGTGGCATGGGCAACTTCAAGTCCGTATCGACTTCTACCAAAATTGTCAACGGAAGAAAAATCACTACCAAAAGGTACAGTTGTCTTGCGTATTTCATGTTTTTAATAAGTAGATGTAATGATTTTTGGGTGCCACCCTCTTGCCCCCGAGTGTGAAGCACAGGTGTATGTTAAATTTGGCACCTGAGAGTCTTAATATTCGAACTTAACATTTCCTTTTAAATTTTGTTTAATGTTACCTATTAACAGCTCTCTTCATTTAGAGCCTTTTTTTAAAAAACATCTTTTTAAATATATTTCTTTATTGATCTCATAGAGGAAGGGAGAGGGAGAGAGAGATAGAAAATAGAAACATCAATGATGAGAGAGAATCATTTATTGGCTGCTTCCTGCACGCCCTCTACTGGGGATTGAGCCTGCAAGTCATGCATGTGCCCTTGGCTGGAATCGAACCTGGGACCCTTTAGTCCGCAGGCCGACGCTCTATCCATTGAGCCAACCGGCTAGGGCTAGAGTCATTTTTAATGTGCAGTGCTGTAATAATAGTGTAATCGGTTTGCTGGCACTGTTAGGATAACAAAATGGAAAGCACCATTAGTAGTAAAAGCTGTTTGTTTGTTTTTAGCCAATTTGACAACATACACTGCGGAGCAAGATCTCAGATGCTCCCCGAAACCATGACCTTTGATTCCTTGTGTCCGCATGTACCCTGTTCCCCCAAAATAAGACAATGTCTTATATTATTTTTTTTCTCCCAAAGTTGCGCTAGGTCTTATTTTCAGGGGATGTCTTATCTTTCCATGCGCTAGGTCTTATTTTCGGGGAAACATGGTAGGTCATGGTTAGCAGTGTAGTGTTGTCTGTCAGAATCGGTCTGTTTTCACAAAGATGGCCCTTGGTGGCTTCAGCTGGTTCTCGGTCTGTGGTTTCATGCATGTCTGGTTTCCAAATGCATATATACAAACACATACGTTACTGCAAGAAATAAAGCTTAAAAATGCATTTTTCCTCCAGAATTGTCGAGAACGGTCAAGAAAGAGTAGAAGTTGAAGAAGACGGCCAGTTAAAGTCCTTGACAATAAATGGTAAGGAGCAGCTGCTACGCTTGGATAACAAGTAATTCAACGCACGCATGTAACAGAGATGTTAACTGTAACAAGCACCATTTGAGGACTAACAGGAACATTTTTTTGAAGATTTCAGACGAACTCGACTTTCAGTATAACTGTCCCTAATCTAAAGTATTTATACACAGCTCATCGGAGCCTGTTTGTCAGACTTGAGTTATTGTTGGGACCACATGATAGGACCTTTTCTTTTTGGTCTTTGCAATTGTTGTAAATCTCTGTATGCACTTTGCTTTTTATTAAACGTGATCCAGGGCAGCCGTGACTTCATACACTAACACCAGCACGGACCTGCTTTCCATTGTGGTTAAGCTGAGCCAAGCAGGGTGGCCTGCTGTGAAGCTCACATTGCCAGGACGCGCCCCAGAGTAGTTTCAGTCTTTCCGTGTTGAGTAGTGAAAGGTACTAATGCATCAATGGTAATACATTTCTGGTTTAGTATAAATTGAGGATGTTTTCTAGTTGTGCATGAATGCTGGCAACTTAGTAAGTTTTGACAATTGTTTAAATGTGTAATGTTAAGCTTAGGTTTAAAAAGTAAAGCTGGTAAAATGGGTCTTTGTTATTTGCTTTAAAAAAAAAAAAAAGAAAATAAATGCGATGTGTTTGGTGCATTCTTTCCCAATGGGGCTGCAGCCTCCTGTGTCTGTGTGATTCTGTGCCTGGGGCTCTGTCGCTTCCTGACTGTCCGTCCTGTGCACTGAGGTGGGTGCCACCATCACCAAACCTGTGCTCGTTTTCTTCAGGCTATTTGGACAGTGTGTGCAGATTTCCTGTTTATGTTAAATAATGATTAGCAACTTATTGAACATTTTAATATGGTGACACGCCTACTGGGTTAGGTCTGACGCCAGCTCCATCAAGACTGCACGGTAACGACACAGAGTGATGCAATGTGTCCAAAGGTGCTGCTGTTGTTTTTCAGTCTGTAAATCTGTCCCGATCGCCTCACCAGTGTGAGAACGCTCACCTGTCTGAATTTAAATCATGGACTGAGACAGAAGTATGGCGAAAACGAGACCTGGAATAGGTTCTCGGGAGCGTGTGTCCGTCCGGTTGTGCAGGCTCACCCGGGGCGGGATCACAGCCCGTTTATCCCTAGGGTGCAAGTGTCCCTCCTCCGGGTCCTCATTGGCTGAGTGCCCTGGTTAATAGCCGTGGCCTAGGTCAATGACCTGGGCCATTATTTTTATTTATTTATTAATTAATATATTTTATTGATTTTTTACAGAGAGGAAGGGAGAGAGATAGAGAGCTAGAAACATCGATGAGAGAGAAACATCGACCAGCTGCCTCTTGCACACCTCCTACCGGGGATGTGCCCGCAACCAACGTACATGCCCTTGACCGGAATCAAACCCGGGACCTTTCAGTCCGCAGACCGACGCTCTACCAGTGAGCCAAACCGGTTTCGGCTATTTTTATTTATTTTTAAATATATTTTTTATTCAGAGAGGAAGGGAGAGAGATAGAAACATCAATGATAACTGAGAATCATTGATCAGCTGCCTCCTGCACACCCCCTACTGGAGATTGAGATTGCAACCCAGGTATGTGCCCTTGGCTGGAGTTGAACCTGGGGGCCCTTCAGTCTGCAAGCCGATGCTCTATTCACTGAGTCAAACTGGCTGAGGGCCATTGAGCCATTAAAAAAAAAAAAAAAAGGCTGAGGCCTTTTAGTTGCCTCCACCTACCCCTGTCTAGTTGCAGTGGGGGAGGTATTGGGGGGGTGTCCCCACCATGACCCTGGCTCATGGCCATAGGTCTTTGTTCTTGCACCCTCTTCCCTCCTACTTCTATTTGCCCTGAGGAAATGCACCCGCTACAAACAGCTACAAGTTGACTGCTGTGCTGGAGATAGGGATCACAGAAGCCCATTTTCTACACTAGGGCCCCAGTGAGAGGGGTGTTAAGTGAGACTTGGACTGGATCGAAGCTCCCCCACTTGGCTGTGCTTTGGGAATAAGCAGGAAGAAAGCTGTTTGGGTAGGAGTTAATAGGGTATCCCCCTTAGACAGGCTTCTTGGAAAACCCACAGAAGTCACTCTGGTTCCATCCACTCAGTGAGAATGTGCGTGTCTTGTTACGGAGACAAGGGGAAGTACTTTAGACACTAGGAGCTACAGCCTCTCAAAGTTCAGTGTGAGGACTCCGGGGCATCCGAGCTGCAGGAGTGCATGGTCTCAGCCCAAGCCCCTTGGACACGGAGGTGTGTGCTGCTCCTGCTCGGAAAGGGCTGCAGTGCCTGGTGTCACTACTGAGTGCCTCCCCAGAAGGCTGGCTTCTCACTATGCTGGTAGGATAGTGGTTTCTCTGTTGTGAGAAACTCAGGAAACGCTTGAACCTCAGGGTTTTATGTTTCAGGATTGGGGTTTCAGGGATGAGCCATTTGGTGGAGTGGCTGCTTGGTCCTGAGGGGCTCGGGAGACGGGAAGAAGTGCTCTGTGGTGGTGGTTCCCCATTTGGGAACATGCTGGGACCTCGGACGGTGTGGGTGCAGCTCCGGCTGGAAACAGTCTGCGCGTCGATGTCACCAGGGGGGAGGTTTTATAGCTGGAAAGGCGCATGCGTCCCCTGTGTTTTACCTGGTCAGTAGTACCAGTGCTGGGCACCTGCCCCCGCTCCCCAGGAGGCTTCTGGCAGTAGTTGCCGTTGGGGGCATGCTCTTGGCTTCCTGTTGGAAAAGGGACCTCTCTTGCCCTGCTCGCTTCTCGCTGGAGTTCACTCAGGACCTCCCGTGTCGGGAGGGCAGGGCCGGGCCGGGTGTGAGCGTGCCTCGGAAGCCTCGGCACCTGGTCTACTTACCGATGTCTTCCCAAAGTGGCCTGTTAGGACGGGTTTGTGCAGGTTTTCTCTGCCATCAGTTTAGTAAGTTCTGTTTCAACCCGACTGCGTCCTGCTGGGGACCCGGGAGGTTCTGTCATGTGGGTGGGTTTCTGGGTGCTTTACGCTTGTCCTCTGGAGGGTTTCAGGTGCTCGTCTCGTGTTTTCTGTGGTCCCTCTCCAAGCACTATCTGCATTTCTCAGGCCTCTCTATTAACCAGTACCTAACTTCAACCCCTTCCTTCCTTCGTTGCGCTTCTGCAGAGTATCTGTCGCCTTTGCTCACAAAAGTGAATTTTAAAAATTGCTTTTGAGTTTGAGTTACAAAAGACTCCATTTTGTTGATTTCTTTTTTTTAAAAAAAAATATTTTTTTTAATTGATTTTTGTACAGAGAGGGAGAGAGATAGTTAGAAACATCGATGAGAGAGGGATGTGCCCGCAACTAAGGCACATGCCCTTGACCGGAATCGAACCCGGGGTCCTTCAGTCCCCAAGCCGACTCTCTATCCATTGAGCCAAACTAGTCCTGGCTATTTTGTTGATTTCTAAGTTAGTTGTATTTTTTTATTTTCATTCCAAACTGGGCCCATGAAATGTGGTGTTTGGAACGAGGGGCTCAGGAACCTAAGTGTTTGCCGCGGCAGTTTCTGCTGGTGTGCCTGCCTTGGTTAGCCATGGCTGCTGCTCTGGGGAACACGCACCCGCTGGAGCTTTCAGTCTGTCTGTCCTACCTTTTGGGCGGTTCCTGTGCCCTTGTCCCCCTGACGCTGAGTGATGTCTCTGGGCTTTTCTTCTGGAGGCAGCTTGTCAGGTTCCCCTTAGTGAATACATTGGGTAAGGATGGATTTTAAAGCCAGAGGAAGACCCTAGCCTTAACATGTCAAAGGAAGATGTGTACCGTGCTCACCTGCAGGTGTAGCATGACAGCACAGGTGTGAGCTAGCTGTATTCCCACTGGCTGCACGTGGAGTTCTGTGAGCAGCGCTCGGAGTGGTGTCCTGTGTGGCAGGCAGCAATGCCGAGTGTCACCTGTAGGGAACAGTCATGGTTTTCTACTGATTTGTCCTTTTGAAGAGGGTTCATAGGAATGTTGAGGTGAGGAGTGGTCACTGGTTATGAACACAGTGGTGGGCTCCCCACTGTCCAGTACTGACCACATGTGACGGCTAGGGTGATGAGGACAGTCTGTTCCTAGTGGATCACTTTTTAATTTTTTTACTTTTGACAGTATTACAGATGTTCCCCAATTCCCTCCCCCTCCCTTCAGTCCCCCTCTTCTACCCCTTGCCCCATCCTAAGCCTTCACCACACTGTTGTCTGTGTCCTTCGGTTATGCATATATGGTTCAGTTTATTTTGTTCATTAGATTCCACATGTGAGTGAGGTCAGGTGATACTTGTCTTTCTCTGACTGGCTTAATTCACTGGAGAGTGATGCTCTCCAGGCCCCTCCATGCTGTCTCACGGGTGAGAGACCCTTCTTTCTCACGGCTGCGCAGTGCTCCCTGGTGTGGGTGCCCACAGCCTTATCCACTCCTCTGCTGATGGGCACTCGTGCTGTTTCCAGATCTCAGCTATTGTACGTTGTGCTTTTGTGAACATAGGGGGCACACATCCTTTCTGAGCGGTGGTTTAGGTTTCTGGGGTCACTGTGTCACATGGCAGTTCCATCTTTAATTTGTGAGTAATCCACAGTATTCTCAGTGCCTGCACCAGCCTCATTCCCACCTGCACGCACCAGGCTTCCGCTCTGCGGGCCGCTTTCATTGAAACAGCTACAAGAATTCCTTGGCAGCCTATAGAGGTTTTTTTAAAAAATATTTAACAGGCTAATATTTCAAAGAAGCCTGAAGAATTTTAGAAGAAACACTTGTCATGAAAATTTTATGCAGATTCAATAGTGTCTTAGAAAAACAAGATTTTATGGGTATTGGACACTGTTCTTTTAAGATGTATTTGAATTTGCGACAGCCTCAGGCCATCTTGAGGTCGTGCTTCAGACACAGTCCTAGTCCCCTTGATGTGGGTGGCCCGGACACCCCCGGGGAAGCAGCTGGCAGCCGGGCCAGCAGGTGTCCTGTGGTCGCAGGGCCGCTTGGATATGAAATGCACTTCAGCTCAGTGCTCAGCAGGA